ACGGACGACGGCAGCACATATGTCTGAAATGGGGTCTTTCACATTGGTGCGACACAACAGCTAGAGTTCCTCCGCCGGTGGTATTTTGTTTCCTCTCCATCTTCATAAATTCGGTCCCGCTTCCTCCCTCTTTTTCCCTTCACATGTATGCAGATTACAAAATTACACTCAAGTTTCTATAGATGAACTACGTATAGCAATTGTTACTATCAATAATGATCTCGAACATATTTCAGACTCATGTCGATGGCACGTCTTATTAGTCAATCCTTGCAACACACAGGCATTTGGTAGTCATTTTATAAATCCTCGTGTTTTGTATGATTGTAATTTATCCTCATATTTCAGAGGTGAGCAGGAGAAATACTGCGAGTTAGTTCATTAAATATACTTAACCAGAAAAAGAAAGGAAAAAAGGAACAGCGACGGAGAGACAAAGTACTAAAATGAAGAAAAATCTATTACCCAAAGGTTGTCCGATAGTAATTGCTATCTAAGCAATAAGGCCGTATTTTGTATTTTATATGTTTATATTTCTTTTTTTAGTGCAATAAAGTATTTGTTATGCTAATATTTATCAATTTAAAATGGTTGTTTGCAAAAACGGAAACAAGTTGAATTAGCTCGATAGAAAAAAAATAGCAAAGATGACTAAATATTTTATTTTGAATCGATTTTACGATTAATATATTTTCATCTTAAATCTATAAAAATATATACAATAAAAGGTTTTGACATTATCTAAAATTACCAAAGATTTTTATAGAAGGATTACAGGTGTCTAGTGTGAGTTAGAACATTGCCCGTCCCTCAGAATAATAACAACTGCCAATCAGTTCAGCGCCAGCAGATAAAATTTATACTACTAACAATTTCTAAATAACTAATGCTTTGAGTGTCTCTCTGATCGTTGGACTGGAGTTGAGATATCTGGTTTATAATTGTATCGATTTTATCACTTGAAGAAGAGTTATATTTGGTTTAAAATTGCCCCGATTTCATCACTTAAAGAAGAGTTTTTATATTTCTAGCCGAGTTCGTTTTATTGAGAAAACAATATTTGTGGTACTAACACATCATCCGAGTACAAGCCTGGTAGAATATTGAGAGTTAAAATAAAACCATTTGGACGAGTTTCTTTGTTAATCACATTTATTTCCTCATCTGTCACGAAAATAATTAGAGTGATCAACAATACATACATTGATCGACTGTGGACACCATTTGGAGATAAACACAATGCACTGCAATAAAAGCTTATCAGGCTAAGAATGCACTTAACGTCATATATTATAACTCAAAATATATTATATAAAAAATAAATACTCTAAACCAATTGTCGCGTAATGACCAGAGGTCGGAATAAGGTAGAGTTATTTATGTACTTGCATCGAAATGTTGATATTAATGTGGACCTTCCTGGGATTTCTTTATTTCTTTCTTTCATTGATGTAAGTTTGGCAACGTCGTGCGTGCAGTAGTTTAAATTGTGTAAAAGTAAATAACTTTTTATTTAAAAAATCACGGGATTTTTTCTGCTCTTTAAAATTAATCTCGGGATATGAGGCATATCCACTTTATTCTTTCGCTGTATAAAATCAGTGTAAGTACATGTACTTCCTTATCCTTCCTAATAACTCTACCTAATTCCGACCTCTGGTAATGACCTGTTCCTCCGAATTACGTGGCATCAATTTTTTTTACCACACTTTGACTTCTCTTCACTTTAGTTGATAACTTATCGAAAGGAACCATCCACTGAGCGATATGTCTTTTGGTTTCCTAATCATAACAGTGAATCCAGCTTTTGTAACCCGTATGCATGTTGACCGCAGCATTTGAGTCACCATCGTGAAATCTTTGAATTATCTTACGGCACCAACCAACACGAGATTGTCACTTTGTCAAATTATGATGTATCCACCAGGTATAAAGACCGAGGATTTTGTCCACTTGACTCATACAGATGCCTAAACTTGTCCAAATCTATCAGTAGATTTGGACAAGTTTGTTAGTCTCTATCATACGCCGCACAACATTGATGTTTTCTTGAGTCATCGACGTAGAAGGCAGTCCCTCATACAGATTATCGGTAAAATGAATTCTACCACGTTTGAACTCATTAAACAGTTTGTAAATAATGGCACGATATAGGGCATCATCGTAAAAAACCAGTTCAAGTCTATCACAATATTCTTGTTGGCTTAAATTATAAATAAGTATTTTTAATTTCGCGTTTCAATTCCTAGATTATTTTATCCTTAATAATACTACCATTGTTTTATTATTTCATCCATTAGTAACATTATTTAATCTCAATTCTTATATTTATTTTTGAAAAGTTCTTATAATTCTTACTTTAAGATCTTAAACGTCAGTAGCCACATTTGTCTTAGGAGGTTCAAATGATGTTAAGGATATTAATAGTTGTGGGAGGTAATGGTTCGGTTGGAAGTCCGCTTTTTGTACAAACTTTTTCAATTTGTCACTAAAATGTCCTAAATTTAAACTTGTTATTGATCTTGATTACACTTCTAATGTAATGCATCACAGAAAGTTTTTAGAACTGGCAACTTGGCTGGTTCTAAAACTTCTAGTGTTCTCGTATTAGATCCTTGACTGAAAATAAGGTATTTTTAGTTGTACATTTGTGAAGATGTTGCCTACTTGTTGACGTGGTCCTGTTGTATGTCTTCATGAATTATTGGTGAGTTAATGTTGTTTGTATTTTCTTGTTGCCTTAATGGGTTTTCCATTCCAATTTACAGTAAATTTTGGATTTACAAATTCTAGTAACAAACAATTCATATAAAAAGGTTCGAGTGTTATTTTCATTCTCAAAATATACCATCTTTTTTAATTATTTATATTTTTAAATTTTCTCTTTCGCTAAACTACACTGCAAAATATTAGTAGGTATTATATTATATTTATTTTTGGTTAATGGCCTCTGTCTTAATTCGTATGCAGTAATGAGACATTTAGTTTCAACTAACCAAGAAACGTCAATTCTTTAATCTTTAAACAAGCCACAGGGGGTAATCGAGATCTTTTCTTGAGAACATAATTGGTTCATCTACTTGTCCATGACGTAGAGAAAAGACGTAGTCGATATTGCTTTTATATAAAACATTTTTCATGTTAGTGGACGGAGAATTGAGTCTTTTTTTAATAACTCGGCCAAAATTTGATGTGGTCAATAAAGACCGTCGGGGCTCCATCCAGTCACTACTGTCCCGTTGAAGAATTGTTGATCTTCGATTATTTGACCATCGTCTTCAGTTTTTTTTAAAAACAAATCTGCTGGCATATCCGGTTTCGCACATTTTACCCCAGAGTATTCATTTGGCTTTTTAAATACCAAACATCTTTTCTTTTATCGTATTGTTTGTTTGTGTTTACGGAGTGATTAATTAGAAAATTAAAGATTTATAATAACTGCTATCACTCGTTTTATTCATTTCAATTACACACAGGCAGTACATTTTACATGGTATAGACATAGAGAGCACAGACAAGTTTTTTTTTATATAATACTTTATATATGCAACGATATTTGGTGTACAGCCAAGTTTGTTCAGATAGTTTGTATATTTTCCGTTTAGAAATTTTTTTTTGCGACTTTTTTCAACTGTTTTTAATATCCTGCTTGGGCTTATGTTAGAACACACATTTCGTACAGCATATGAGTGGCTCAGAGAATAATTGATGCGTTTCCCCCAACAAATTTTGCTACTATGCTGTGGTAGCGATCAACTGTATTCTTTTGCAGGTAGACTTCTTATGTTAGTAGTAAAGTGTTGTGTTAAGAGACAGAGATTTTTTTACCGTAACGAACTTGAAAAATAATCTTTTTTTTTATGCGAGATCGTCTTTAGTACTCACCTTTTTAAAGAAATGACGTTTGCATCCAGTGATTACCAGAAGCATGATCATATGTAGTAAATATTTCTTCAAATAAATAGGAAATTTGCCTTTTTTTTTGTTTTCTGTTATCTTTATCATCGCAGATTATAGATTTATTCGTTTATTATTTGTTAGTATTTTTCTATGGCTTGATAAAAAATAATCCAAGTCTGTTACCGACTTCACTTCGCTGTTAGGCAAAATTCCGTCTATACTTTTTATTTTGTCTGAGATTTGTGGTATCGAAAGAATTTGTTAGAAACGATAACATGGCAACCATAAAGTTTACGACATGTAGTGATTTAGGGTTGAAGTTAAAATTTAATGAAAGCTGTAGTCAGCATAGTGTATACTTATATATATTAGTAATTCCGTCTAATGTTTGAATACGAGAAACAAATGATACACGAGATAGATGGTAGCTTATTGGTTTTTAAAAATCCAGTAGGCCATGACATCACTTACAATAAATCTATTAGGTCATGATCCTATATTATTATGAAGAACTTCACTGATATTTTGTCTATTGCCATCAAACAGTCAGTGTTGCACTATCGAAAAAATACAAACGTTGCTGTTTTTAAGTTATCAGTGTGGGCAAACTAACGCATGAAATTACTTCCAATAAATCTACATACAACAAATCAAGTATGCCATGACTCCTATGTAGACTATTAAGTACCTACATTACAGTACCTATCATTAAAGTGACGACACTCGCGTACAATGTCAGGGCAGTACCGTTTTAGAAACAAATTCATACGTAAAAATATTTTAGTAATTTTTTCATAAATAAACATTTGCAGAAGTTTTTGATTGTCTAATGAACAGACATACGGTCTGTTGCACACGTCCATATTTGTATAGGTAATGTCTCTTTAAACTAATGACAATTATAACGGAAGTTTGTGCAAGTTTGTTGATGACACCTGAAATAATAGTGTAAGACCCTATTCTAAAATACCTTTAGCCTCCTTCGGCGCTATTTGTTCAGGTTTATATGTGTGACGATTGGGAAAAGCTACTGAATCTCGTATATTTTTAATTCTATACGCCTTCGTTGATATATCATATTTATAAATTTATGATTATAGGATTCCCACGATCATCTGATCTTCAATGTCATCGTAGATCTCACACGGGCGAGAAACCATGTGTTTGTCGAGTCTGTGGAAAAGGTAAGGTATTATAACTAGAGAACTAAGAATTATTATCCTTTTCCCAGTGTTGTTTGATACCAAACATAATCCAAAATAGGTCTGTTATTAATCGAGAACTGATTGCGATGCTTTTTTAATATGATGATTTCTTGTCTCTCTTGAAATTGTCACCTCCAATAAAGGTGTGTGCTTAGTAATAAATGATTCTTTTATTTTACTGTGTCCATAACAGAGTTAAAATTGGTCCTTCGAGCCGGATGTATGGTGATGGCAAAAATCCAAAGCATCATCTAAGTGTTCAAATAACGATATAAATGAGATAATGATATATATCGCTGCCAGTAGAGCTCTGTATCGCTTCCGCGGTTCGCTTGTTGTACTCCTATAGCGATTAGCATCCTTTACTACAAAACGAAGTATGAATAATTTTCTCTCGACGCTCGCATAATATCTGTATCATTGTTGGTTTTTCGCCTGCCCTATGAACAGACTATGTTTATTAGGTACGACGTATTATGTATTGTTTTTAAACGGTCAAATTGTAGAACCCATACGTATGCTTTGTGAAGGCTATTGCTCCATGAAGTACGCTTTGAATAATGCTGGTATATATTGACCTTATCAACAGTAATACCTGTGACAAATGAAAAAGTTTATTAATCCGACTAGGTACCAAACGCGGGACTTCCAAGATTGCGACATCTTGAAAGCCAGAGTGTGACTATTTGTCTTAAGTAGTCGGTGGATTATCAGACTGTCGATTGAGTGTGCAAAGTGAAAGCGTTTATCCAAACTGACGAAATATATGAAATATTTTGTCAGTTTGGATAAATCCTCTTAGAGTCGTTGCATATCTGACGGAAGATGCGTGGCGTATCATCAGTTGCGGAACGTCAGAACTGACTGAATATAATATGACATTCAATTGCACCCTCCATAGTCTGTCTCATCATAACGCACACTTCTGTGAGACGCTTGATAGGTCTGCCGTCATATTAACATTGGCCCTTATTTTGTTAATATGACATATTCCAACTTTCTGTCGTCAAATTGCAGCACTAGCATATTGAGAAACCAGTTTTTATAAACACCAATCACCATTCACAGTGCAGTATAACAGAAATTATTATTTTTTGAATTATAACTATTATAATTTGTAGGATTGTAATTTTTTCTAATACTACATAATTGCTGCAAATTTGGATGCACGACGGAAGGGAATAATCATTTGTAAAAAACAAAATGTTTGAAAAAGTTAACATGTTTACTTCATTTGCTAATGCTGTTATTTACATCGAGTTTTTTATTACCTTATTATGTACTTGTATTGCAGGGTTCTCTCGCAGTAATAAATTGTCGCGTCACATGCGTGTCCACACTGGCTTAAAACCTTATAAGTGCACCTACTGTGAGAAAGCATTTTCTCAGAGCAATGATCTCACGCTACACATTCGTCGTCACACCGGAGACAAACCCTATATTTGCGAAGTCTGTGGCGATAGGTTTATTCAGGTAGATGTTTTATTCGTATTATATAGTATATGTGAACTTTAGCAGAAAAATTGCCATCAATAACGAGTGTCGGCTCAATAAAATATTCACATCGTTTATATCGAAAGAGAATGACTTCATCATAATAATTCTTTCCGAATCAGCATTCTTATTATAACCATCTAATATAATTATACTAGCTATTATACTAGTATTTTTACACGACTTCGCCTGCGTAAATTTTATCCTACCCATGTCGTTCGCGTATACTGTAGCTGCTCGTAGATGAAATAATTTTTAAAATGGGGCCATTAGTTTCAAAACTTTTTCAATGCAAACTTTTCTCTAATAAAATTTTTCTCTTTATAATTATTAGTATAGGTTCAGTTGATAATTAAGCTTTTAGTCTTGATATAAATACTGTGAACGCCATAGCCTTTAAATAAATATAATAATATTTCTTTCAGGGGACAGCACTACACAATCACAGAAGAACACACGGTCATTTTCCGCCATCATCATCCGATACTCAAACGCAAGGACCACCCATTGCCTACACTGTACAAAGTATTACTCATCAAAATACTGCCCAGTAGTTGATGTAATTATATATAAATCAATGACAATTTTCTTGGAATTATTTATTTATCTCTATAATAAATCTCAAATAAAGCATTCGTTTTGTTTCTCACTGAACTAAATATATTTAGAAGATTTATGTACTTAGGATTCATATTGAGTGATTATTTTGTGTAGTTTTTTGTTTTTGTTTCTTCTTTTGTAGCCGACCTTTCGAGCTAATTTTGGTTTATACTAAAGTACAGCCAACTAGCAGCCATACGAAAGGTCATTCAACCCGAAAAACGACTGTGGTATTGACAATCTATTATCTATCTCTTATCATCTTGTGTTTTTGTCGCAATGTCTTGTTCTCCCGGCAAAAATGTGTCAAGGTCAAGACGGGTTCGCCAACATTCAGGCGACCATTTTAAATAATAGTGATTCATTCATTTTCATTTTTGTTCTCACTGCCATAACTATTATTCTCGATATTAAATCTTATTCTTGATAACTATATTAATAAAATAAATCAAACTATAATTAATAAAAAATTATAGGACCTTAGCTATAAGTAAACTCAACAGACTTGAGATACTTCCCTGCCATGCCTATCCTTTTGAGTATTGTTATTCGAATTTCAACTCATTGTATTTTTATTGATAGATTTTTAGAATAACAATTACATAAAGTAGCTTAATGCCATCTACTATAAAATATTATCGTCTGCTAATAAAATACATAGTTTTCAAAAAGTTACGCACCCCTACATTTCCTAATGGTTTTGTTTACGTTTTGTATCGCTTCTCGTTGGCCGTACTATACGTAAAGTACTAAGTGCACCCGTTTCTATGTAGTAATGTCTAATATTCGATCTAAATAACTGGTCTAACTAATCCATTTAGTATTACTAGTTTTGGTAGTACTTTACTGGTTCGTCTAGACGCCGCTAGATTATTAGAAACCTTATTTACAAACAAAAAGGATTTACTTTTTTTCGTACAATTCTACCCAAGTAGCACATTAATAATATATTAACTAAAATAAGTACCGATTTATGTCCCAAAGTCATACTAACATTTTTAATCAGCACTGGTCAAGTTTCGAATCTGTTTAAAGGCATTTATTTTATCTAATAATGCTTAATGCCATATTATGGTTAATAAAAAAAGTATACCAATGTCAAAACTCCTATTTAAGTATTGGGTAATATTAATATAAAGCTGTTATCGTATTTCGGTGATATGAAAAACATTATATATTATATAAGCATTAACGTAATATTATTTAGTGCACTTAGTTGTATTTAGTCATTTTCTAGAAACAAAGGTTTTCTAATGGCCTATGGTTGTATCGATTTAATGCTTATCCTATATACACATTGAATAAAGAACTAGTAAAACTTTAGCACCGATTTGTTCTTAAAGTATTCTTTAATCAAGCTCAAGCTCCTTTATCTTCTTAATCTATGCTTTTATCAAACATTAGGCTATATTTTGATCAATATTAAGTTATTTATAGAGATACAAGTAATAAATAGATCGTAATTATTTTTTATGTGAAATTAAAATGTAAAATTATTTTATGTATTGTATTGTAATGGTGGCATTTTATACGCATCGCTGGCGCCATGGACAAAAAACGTTGGGAAAAACAAAGAAAACAGGTGGATATAAAAGAAAACTGAAAAAAGAGTATTCTAATTTAATTGAAGCTTTTAAAAATCAAAATAAAAATGAAATAATCGTTTGATGATTATAAGCACTATAAGATACTTCTGAAGTGTAAAAATACGGCTGTACCTAAAATGGGAGTGTGTTATACGGTGAATTACGAGCTCTTAGTTTTGTGTCTAACCATAATACGATTAACAGCTCTACTACACCATATTTGAATACCTAATGCTTTAATTTTACGAGTCGCCATTTGCTTTCTTTTTCCAATTCTTACAAAATATTTAAAGTCAACTGTGTCAGATGAAAAGGGGTAAATAATCATTTATTTTGTGCACAGATGCCTATAAAAGCAATTATGTTGTTAAAACAATGCTAAAAAGCCTAAAATTCAACAAAAAATTTTGCTACTAGGTTAAATTTTTTATTATTTTTATTATATTAAAGGAAGTTTGCGAAGGCGCGTGTATTTTACACCATAAACTTGTATATTTTACTCCACAAACTGATGTTTGCAGCTTATTTCACACATAACGAGCTGTTTAAATCAATATTCAAAAATACTTAAAAGACCAGCCAAGAGAACATGTCATGACACTTACACAAAACAATAATTTAAACCGATTATATGTTTTTAAAATCTATTAAGTATACTTTTTTTACAAAGGAAATAAAACAGTAAGCATTTTTATAACATTAAATTAACGTATTATAATTTTGATTTCCGCATATCAATTGTAATATAGTCACAAAAAGTTCAATTAGCACTTTAAGGTGCTAATTGAACTTTTTGTGGCTATTAGAATGCTTTTACCCGACTTTATTAATGCTATTATACAAAAGTTGTAGTGCTATTGCACAGCTTTTATAAAGCTTAAAGTCGTACAAAGGGGGGGCCCAAATTTTACGTATAAGAGTCGTTTAAAAGAAATACGGTTGATATACGATTTTATTATAATGCTTAACGCTTGGACTCGTGCTATTATAAGTTTGATATAATGGTGTTTTGTGCTACTTGGGTACCCATTATGTCGGGGACCTATACCTCTCATTTCTAGTCTTGACGTTATGTACCTATCGATTTTTATTTATGTCTTATTAAATGACGCGAACTCTAATGTTTTGGTGTAGGTAGGTTATAAAATCGTTGACCTCTTTACATATACATATATGTTAGGCTCAAAGAGCGAATTCTCTCTCATTGAGCGAAAAAATAGTTTACAATGCGTTGTGGCAAACGCAGAATAACCACATAGCGAAATTCATGTTATGGCTCTAATGGCAACACTCACGACGCGTTGTAGCAAACAAAGAATAACCCAATAGCGAAATCCGTGCTGTGGCTGACATGCTATTCGCTTCTGGCAATTTGCCGGCTGCTGCCGCATTGCTTGTCAATACGCTTCATGGTTTTTCTTCATTGCCACAATGCGTTGTGGTCGAATAGCATGACAGCCACGAATCGTATTACCAACTAAATATATTACAATAAAGGAACTGTTAGTGCTTTTGCACTCGCAAAATCTGCGACAATGTCACTGACTTCGATTTTTATGTCATGTTCAATACTTATTAACAATAAATTTGTTAATCGACTTATCGACAGTGTTTGTCTAAGGTAATTTGTAATTATTTTCAGTTTTGAAAATGATCTTTTACTGTGTGCTAAGGGCTGTGGACAGATTCAGGAAAACAGAAATTAAATTATTAGTATATAAGTAATTACAAATAATAATATCCCACGGTGTAATGGAGTAGAATCATCAAATAATCATAGGTAATTATTGAATAGCATCGACTTTTCCACATCTGAAGAGCCAGCGTGGTACAGTTATTTTCTCAGTTATAACAATTTGCTTTTTACGTGTTCGAATCTGAATCCTTGCAAACTTTTAAATTTTGCAGAAAGGAGAAAAAATCTGGTGTGAAGTGAATTCAAAGCCGGTACCGGCACGCGCGGCAACGCTATAACACTATGCCAATTTAAACTTTAATTATCCGTTTTTATGTCAAAATAAAAGTTATTGTGTACCTATCATAAACAGCCTCCGGTTACTCTGGTGGCGGACGCCAGCGGGAGTCGACGTCGCTGACGGTACTGTACATGCTCTACCAGTGCTATTATTAAGCAAGGTTTAGAGTCAGAGTAAATGTACGCTGAAATTGCAATTGAGTAATAGTCCAAATTCATATTATACAAAGAGAACCTTGTACTAGGTTAACCTTTACTAAGTCTCTGTTTAATAATATAAATTTACTCCAACGCTAAACCTTGTATATTAATAACATTTAAGGTATACGTTGTAAGCAAGATTTTTGCACTACAGATAGACGCCCCTGACTGTGACGTAGGCATAGGCACTAAATATCGATAAACATATCTAGTCTGGAAAAGTAAGTCAATGATTTAGATGTCAATGAACTGAAACAGTTGATTGTAATGTCCGTGTGCTTTGAAAGGTCCTATTGATGATTTTGCAAAACTTCGATATACACAATGGCTTTAATATTACGACATCGTTCATTAATTCAGTTTTATATACATAAAAGTTTGAATCCTTGCAAACTTTTGGTCAAACGTTTGCAAGGATTCAGTATAAGGATCAAGGGGTAAATTTAGGGGTTACGCAATGATATTACAATAAAAGGGTAGATAGGTTACTTGCATTCAAAAAGTGTCACCTTAAAACTATGCTAATTAGCATACCTGAGTGCAGTCTGGTGAAAGTGGCGATTGTGTGCGTTTGTGTACCATATTCATTTTTAAAATGCCATCCTGTGTTATGCGAAACTGTAGAAACTATATAAGTAAGTCGACTAAAAATCAAGGGGTCACATTTCAATCGTAAGTATACTAATTTTTGATTGATTTGCGTTTAAATCGTAAAAATAAATATTGGGTTAAAAATGAAAGAGTAAAAGCTCCTGTAAAAGAGATATGTCAAAGATTATATAAGTAACAACGGACGATTCGAGTTTAGTGCCTACGCTCAACCCTACATTTATTTAACTCCAGAGCTAAAAACACCCTGATTCCGATTTTGATCGAAACCCTCGTGTTATTCATACTATATGTCAGTGTCAGGTGTATAAATAAGTAACGACAAGGAGAAATAATAGAATAATGTTACACATCACTGTTTTTTAGTTGAACTGTATATCGAAGTCTTTAATTCGTTTAGGTACATATAAGTAGGCATTAAACATGCATTAAATCATTATACGTCTGGTCTGTGACATGTTCAATTATAATCTATGAATAATTGGGGAGTTTCGTGCAATGAGCATATGTGTATACGGGGGACAATTTTTGACATCGTATTAGTACTGACATGTCCTATATACCCTTTTTGTAATATCATTGGGTTAACGGGTTTACTGTAACAGGTGGTATAAGT